TCAGTTTTTTGCATTTTTTCGATTTTTACTCCATATTATCTAATGACTATTTTCCCATTACAATTACTCCTTCTGAAAATACATTTTTGGGTACCAATAAAGACAGAAATAGAATACATCTATATGTGAAATCACAGTGTCATCTTGACATTCATCTTGAAAGCTGGGGAAGGTTGCTGGAATACATACAGTGATGACCTGAGTCCACTTCCTATAATAAGCGTGTATTTTTTTTTTTTTTGTAAAAAACGTAAGCTTTACATTTATCAAGAGACTCAAGACACTTCACTGTTGTTGTTTAATTTGCATCATTATTTTAAAATAGTTTGCTTGTATTAAGGGTGACCCCATGGCCAGGTTTTTCTATTAATGTTGACGTTGATGTGGCATGTTATATTCCCATATTTATTAACTTTTTTTTAACATTTCTTTTACATTTTATTACATTTTACATTTTTGTAAAAAACATTTTACAAAAATTTAAAAAACATTTCTTTTTTTAAATTTTTTTACCTATTTTTTACATCATTGTTCATTTTTAAACAATATTTGCTTCCCCCCCACTCCCTCAGGTGTAGTCCCCATAGAGTTTCCTTCACCCATACACCTGTGCACCATCACCTCAGTCCCCTGTGCTCCTCCCTGCCTCCCCAATTCCTCTCCCTCCTCCTCCCCTGCAGGATAGTAACATTTTCCTTTAACACCTGCTTGGAAGGCAGCGCTAGAACACACTGGGGAGCAGAATGTGCCTCACCCAAATATGCTCCAGTGGTATAAGCATTATTTTGAGCTCAACAATTGAGAAGCACTAGGTACAAGACAAGCTCTCTGCTTACCAACTTTTTACCCAAAATCAGGACATAAATTTGAAAAGGTGCCTCTACTCCCCTCTCTACCAAGAAAGTTAATCACTGGAAACACTGATAAGGGACCGTTATCAACCCAGTTCTCTCACATATTCATCTTCCCACAATTTGCCACATTAGAAACTCAAAACTCCTTTTCATCATGTTGCTTCTCTACATATTTATTGTTTTGTTAAGACATTATAATAGGTGCAAGTTCTAATCCTTTGAGTTATTCATCGCTAAGCCCTCCCTTGTGGCTATTCCCTGCAGGAGCTAATCAATTTTTCTTTTAGAACAGTTTAATTTACAAGGCCCCCACTAATAAACCTAAGATGAAGAGAGGAAAGAGATGTTTCCCCTCCCTTGCAAACCTCTCTCAAAAAACTGTTACAAGACAGGGTGAGGGACATCCCGGGACCCCCAAAAATTCAGCTTTAAATGAGCTCTTCCATCTGCCACATCAAGACAAAACGTACGTAAGACCTTCAATAAACAAGAACTTAAACACAATTAATGTGCAATAAAGAGAAGAGAAAGAATATATTTTCCAAATCAATTACCCAAGGTTACCCATCCCCTCATGGGTAAATGCCCAGACAAACAGGGTTGGCCCAAATCAGGACCACTGAGCCCCAAAAGCCTGCCACAAGTCTAAAGCACCTTCTGGAGAGGACCCACAGGAGAGGGGTAGAAAGGACCAGGTAAGTCTGGAAGAAAAGAGCAAAATCAAAATCAAGATAAAGGTTGCCATTGCTAGCCTCCCTAAGGGTCTCTCATCCACATCTCTGTCTCTTCCTTTTTTTTTTTTTAAGATTTATTTATTTATTTATGCATACAAGAGCTGGGGTATAGGCCAGTTCTGCAGGGGGTGAGAGGATTCACCAGAGACAGAGTGGGGACAAAACAGGCAGATTGACTGAAATAGACTGCTGAGGGGAGCAGCAGGAGAGACAGGAGAGGTCTGCTGCGCCATGTAAGTAGCTCCCTGGCCAGCCAGGGATCAAACAAACTCAGGCTGCAGAGGTTGAGGATAGCTTCACAGTGCTGCGCTTAACCCCTTGCACCACCAGGGAGGCCCCCTCTGTCTCCTTCAAGTTTCTCCCTCTGTTAGAGGGCAAGGAGAGGAGTGCCCCAGAACCCTGAAACCTGCCCGCTCGGAATAAGTTCTGCCATCCACCACATCAAGACAAAACATACTCTAGTGCGTAAGACCTTCAATGGAAAGGAAAGTTAATACAATTAGTGATGGAGGATAAGAATAGAAAAACTTTAAAGGAAATACAAGGTCAAGAACCTAACTCACACAAGGAGGTAGGGGTAGAGGGGATTAGCGTCAGCCATCAACCCAGTTATAGAAACCAAGACCCTTAGGTATCAATGTCCAGATCAGGAGGTGCAATACCCAGAAACTATCAGACTGCTATAGGGAATGCCAGGGGCACAAACCATCCTCCCACAAAGATGAGCCCCTCCGTGAAGATAAAAATTAATACTGCCCCCACAACGGGATTGCAGTCTTTCTTCCCACCTGTGACTATGTAGGTGCTTCCTTTCACCAACTCTCTCCCTCCACAGGGCAGCAGCCTCCCTGCCTGTGTCCTGTACCAGCCGGGGCTTCTCTTCACTGACCTCCCTCAGTGGAGGCAGCTCTCCTCAAGGCCGCCTGCCTGCAACCATGCAGGCCTCTCTCAGCAAACCTGTTCCTTTCGGGGCAGCTCTTACAGCCCGCTTGTGCCTATGCAAGTGTATTTTACTCTGCTGTCCCTTTCTCTAATAAACCTGCTCTTTAAATATAACTAACATGTTTGCCTCCTGGAGAAACTCGCCTGGGAAACTCGCCGTGTGCTGGTGAAAGGGAAGCTCTGGTGAAACCTTTCCCAGAGTGAACCCAAGGACCCCCCACTCCAAACCCACTGACTCCAAAAACGGCATCAATTAGTATGCAGTACAGAACGGGGAAGAATGGAGAATTAAAGTTTCTAAATCAAGCAACCAAAGTTACCCATTCCCTTGTGTATAAATGTCCAGCCAAACAGGGTTGGCCCAGAGCAAGGCCCAAAAGCTGCCACAGGTCTAAAGCATCTTCTGAGGGGGACCAATAGAAAAGGGTCAGAACTAGCCAGACAAGTCTGGGAGGAAAAGAGCAAAATCAAAACCAGATAAAAGCTGCCATTGTTATCCTCCCCACGGGTCTCTCACCCACATCTGTTTCGCCCAGTCCAGGACCAGAAAGCAAGTGCAGCTTATTCACATGTCTCTCTGCTCCATGTGCCTCCTCCAGGCAGGTCTCCTTTTTTGATCTCCATCTCGCTTCACTTCTCCTCAGCCAGGTCTTCCCTTTTCCAGTCCTCGTCTCAGTCTTTTCTAGCTTCACCTCCCTGGCCAGCTCCTCCCTTCCTTAGGGTGTTACAAAACTACTTGCTTCCCTGTAGTTCCTGAGATAGTTGCTCTGGGAGAGAAGTAAAAGAATATAAAATATTGTAATCCTCCGTTTTTGCCCAATTTCAAATTATAAGATGGCCAAGAACAACCATGCTTGTTTGCTTTTTTAAATTTTTGTTTAAATTTCTTAATGATTTTATTTTCAAACCTAGCATTTCTAGTTAGAAAAAAAAAACATAAAAAATCTGAATCTCATTCCTCTTAACCATTTCCAGGAGGTTGGCAAACCTACCATTCAATGTCAAGGAAAAACTGCTTCTTTTCTTTTTTTTTTTTTTTTTTTACTATCCCCTACTTAATTCTAATTTTTGTGAGTCGTTCCTCTTCTAGAGAAGAATTGGCGTGTAAGAATTCACCAGAGACAGAGTGGAGAACAGAAATGGCAATTTGCTGAAATGCACTGCTAAGAGAAGCAGCAGGAGATATGGGCAGTCTGTGCCTCAAAAAGAATTTGGTGCTTCCTTTTATAATCTGGCTTCATGGACTTTTCATGATAGGGGAGTCGATTTGGGCCAGTTAGTGCTGGGATGTCAGGTCTTGGGTGTTGACCTTAGACTGGGAATGTGTCCTGGCCCTGCTTCCTCACGTACAGAGTGTCCAGTCCTATGGCCTGGTGACCTTATCAGTTCCCTTTATACAAGCCTTCCAAAGGCTGGTCAAGGAGTGGGGGGGGGGGGGGGGGGGGGGTTAGATTTTAACCTTATTAAATGATGCCCAACAATTCCTCTCTGTAGAATCATCACCTATGAAGAGGCTCATGAGGCTTTAGGATAACCCTCAACATGTTCTTGTGCAGTCCATAAACATCTCATTCTCGTCCATTTTCAGACAAGCCTTTCATTCATTCCCACTCTTTTCTTCCTCTGGGTATCCAAACGGTGTGTTTAGGATCCACTTTTGAAGGCGAGGTTTAGAGAAAAGCAGACACGATTAATCCTATCATTCAAAGGTGTAGAATATCACTTATGTTTTAATCTGATTTTTTTATTTGAAGGGGGGCATTTCCTGTCACTATACGATACGATTTTGTCAAGTCTCACAAAATTTTAGAGATAGGGTAAACAGATACAGCTGTAGTACTTGCCTAACCCTTATTAGAATTAAATGTCTCCCATTTTTAACCACTAAATAGCAGATGTGAGACGAGCAGCTAAGACACCGCAAAGGGCCAAACATTTAAAAGTGGTATGTGTGGGGGCAGAGGGTGGGGTGCTCCTCTTTATTTGCATTTCTCTGACCCCTCCAGAGAGAACTTCGTCCCCACCCGCCAGTCATTTCTGTTATTTCTTTTGTTCAGGTCCTTTGTCCAGTGTCCTAGGGGAGCATTCGGGGTTAGCGTTTCCCCTTTTATAATTCCCTTTAATTACAAAAATCCCGCCGCTGAGGTCCTCCCGTCCTTCCGCCCCCCCCCCTACGCCCGCCGGTTCCGGGGTGGGGGGGTAAACGGCTGCCCCCCAGCGCCCTTTCATCCTCTGCGCCCTGGAGACCCCAGCCTTGAAGGGCGCGGCAGGAGCGTCCCTTCGCGCGAGACCTGCGCATGCGCGACCCGCAGGCCTCCTCGGCCCCACACAAAGGTGGCTCGCTCGGCCGACCGGAAGTGGACGCGCCGGGGCCCGGGAGGCCGCCCGCGGACTCCACTTCCCGACAGGCGGCGCGAGACGCCGCCCGCGGCGGCGGCCGGGCTCCCGCGCGGACTCCATTTCCCAGCAGGCCGCACGAGACGCCGCTCGCGCCGGCCGGGCTCCCGCGCGGACTACCCTTCCCGACGCGCCGCGCGAGGCGCCGCCGGCGGGCGGCCGAGGGCGGGCCGACGCGGGAAGGCAGCTCCGGACGTGAGGCCTGAGCGGCGCCCTCCCCCGGCCCGCGCGCGTCCTGCCGCCTGCCCGAGCCCGGGTCGCGCGGCGCGGGGCCTAGCGGCGGGCATCGCGACCCGCGGCGCGAGCAGGGGCTGCGGCGGCCGCGCCGGGCGCCGGCGGCCATCATGGAGGTGAGCGGGCCGGAAGACGACCCGTTCCTGTCGCAGCTGCACCAGGTGCAGTGCCCCGTGTGCCAGCAGATGATGCCCGCCGCGCACATCAACTCGCACCTGGACCGCTGCCTGCTGCTCCACCCCGCGGGGCACGCGGAGCCCGCGGCCGGGCCGCACCGCGCGGGGGAGCGGCCCAAGGGGCTCTCGCCGCCCGGCGCCAAGCGGCGGCGGCTGTCGGAGAGCTCGGCGCTCAAGCAGCCGGCCACCCCGACGGCGGCCGAGAGCAGCGAGGGCGAGGGCGAGGAGGCCGACGACGGCGGCGAGACCGAGAGCCGCGAGAGCTACGACGCGCCGCCCACGCCCAGCGGCGCCCGCCTCATCCCCGACTTCCCCGTGGCGCGCGCCCCCAGCCCCGCGAGGAAGGGCTCGGGCAAGAGGCCGGCGGCCGCCGCCGCCGCCGCCGCGGGCAGCGCGTCCCCGCGGAGCTGGGACGAGGCGGAGGCGCCCGAGGAGGAGGAGGCGGGCGGCGACGGCGATGGCGACGGGGACGCCGACGCGGACGGCGAGGACGACCCCGGCCACTGGGACGCCGACGCGGCCGACGCGGCCGCCGCCGCCTTCGGGGCCGGCCGCCCGCACGCCCGGGCGCTGGCGGCCGACGAGATCCGGCAGATGCTGGAGGGCAAGCCGCTGGCCGACAAGATGCGGCCCGACACGCTGCAGGATTACATCGGGCAGAACCGCGCCGTGGGGCAGGAGACCCTGCTCCGGTCGCTGCTGGAGGCCAACGAGATCCCCTCGCTCATCCTGTGGGGGCCGCCGGGCTGCGGCAAGGTGAGTGCAGTCCGCAGTCCGCACGCAGTTCCAGAGCTGTGGCTGAGGCCGCCCCGGAGGAAACCGCCCCTGGCCCCCTGGATATGTCGATCGAGGCCTAGGAGTGCAGGGCCTCGGGTGCCATCGAGCGGGCACTGCCTGGTGCGCAGGTGGAGTCTGGGGTGGGTGTGGAACAGGTACACACCCCCCAGATTTACAGGACAGCTTTTCTCCTTGTTTTCAGCGTGAAGATGGTTGAATCCTTAAGGCTGATACGAATGTGCGGGCTGTTAAGAGGCCATCTACCTTTGTGTTCCACTGACCCGCCTAGGACACATTCTCAAGGAAACAGTATGCCTTAATTTGCAGGGCAACATTTGTATGTTTGTAGGTGTATGAGATCCATAACCCAAACCATAATCCATAATCCAAAAATTATAATCCAAACGTTTCCGTCGTGCTTCCTTCTTCTCCTTCTATGCCTTTGGTTTCACACACCGATTTTTATTTTTCCTTGAGAAGATATTTAACTCTTCTTCTGCAATTCATCTTCGCCTAGAGTGCCCATAACTGTTCTCAGAATGCCTTGTGCTTTAGAGATGCACCATCTGTGTATTTTGGTGTCCAGTCTAACTTGTTGGAGTCACAAAAGTCCAGAGGAGGGGACTTAGGACACTGAGGGTCTAGAAAACATGGCATTGGGAGAACATTTGAAACAGTGGAGGAGTTCTGACTGCAAAAATAAAAGGCCCAGAGGTCTTTGATAAACGGTTTATTTAGTTTTTATCTATAGAACAGGGAGGAGAATAACACCAGTGTGTGAAAGAAAAAAATCAGTGTAGAATGTAAAGGCACTCTCGCAGCTTTGAGATTCACACTCCTTAGCACACAGGGCTCTTGGGATTTTTTTTTCCTCCAGTTTTTCTTTCAAGCTTCACCTCCCACCATTTGACTACAGCTCCCATTTACTCCAGTTCCTGGCGTGCAGCTCCCTGATTGTGTGCCTCGTTTGCATGCTCTCCTTTCCCTTTGGTCAGGAAGAAGCCCGCTCTGTCCCACATGACATGTTCCCACCGTGGTAGATTTAGTCGTTACCCCTTTAGGGGATTGAACAGCAGCGTTTTTAATCGTTGTCCATGAATTCTTTACATGAGATCCTGTGCGTGGCTGATCAGCTAACTGTTGCTGGGCCCAGGTGGCAAGAAGAACATCCCTACACAAATGAATAGGATGAACTCAGGGAGGGGCCAGGCAAGACATTTATGGTCTGGACTGCTGGGTGATTTGGTTGGTGGTGGTTGCTAGCCTGCTTGTGTGCGGCTCGCAAGCCCAAAATGGGAATTTGCTAAAGCAGCAGCCTCAATAACAGTGGTTCTGTGCAGCTTTTCAGAATAAAGTGGCACCTTTCCAGTCACTCACGAGCAGTCTTATACCTCTCTTGTTAAAGTCTTCCCTTTGTCTTTATTCCCATCCTGTACTTTTCCACTACTACTAATAATGTTAAATTACGTGCTTTTCTTGGATCTTGTCATTGTTGTCTGGTACATAGTAACGCAGTCAACATGCTCTTGTTCCATCCGCTTCCCGGGTAGACATTTAGAAGTGGCATGCAGGCCTCTCAAATTTGAGAAGTTGTCCTTGGTTTTTCAACTCAGATGCTCACTCTCCTCTAAGCTGCGCTGGTGAGCTTCCAGTGGGAGAGGGTTGGTCTGCAGCTCTGCTCTCCAGCTGCACGCCTGGTCCCTCAGCAGCAAGGCTTTCTTGGCTGGAGGGGTTCACAGCTGTCAACCACGCTCTTCTAAATCAAGACAACCGCTTTCTGATGGGATTCCACAGATCTTAGAGTCCCCAAAAAAGGAATCAAATGGGGTTTAGATACAAAGGAGAAGAGGTCAGGATTAGCCTAAGGTTTAGCTACTTTCCTGTTTTATTTATAACTTTTTTTTTTTTTTTTTAATTTTTGAAACTGCTGTGGTATTTCAGATTGTGTCTGTGCTGCTGAGCATGCTACAGCGTTCAGACTGCTGGTCAGTAGTAACTGGTGCTCCTGGTGTTGGAACCCATGGGTGCTTTACTCTGTGTCTGATGAGCCCCCCAAACTTCTGTCATCTTTTCTAGACCACCCTGGCTCATATTATAGCCAACAACAGCAAGAAACACAGCATAAGATTTGTGACACTGTCTGCAACAAATGCCAAGACAAACGACGTGCGAGATGTCATAAAACAAGCTCAGAATGAAAAGAGCTTTTTCAAAAGGAAAACCATCCTGTTTATTGATGAGATTCATCGGTTCAATAAATCTCAGCAGGTATATTAACATTGTTCTACCTTTCGTCGTTGAATGTGGCCAATAGAATACAGATGTGAAGTCACTTTGAAAAGCATAAAGCCCTATACAAACGCTACTGTTTTCACCCCTTTCTACATAGAAGCCAAGGACTGTCACCTCATTGTTTTTGAGCCCATTTACCCCCTTTTTGGGGGTGTTTTTTGATGATGAAAAATTCTTTTGAGGCTAATGAAATTCTTAGTTTATCTTTAAACCGCAGAGATCAGAAAATCAGCTTTGACTCCTTCCCAATTTTTAATCTAAGTATTAAGAGTCAGAGTAAACGGTTTAATTTGGTTATAAGATTGTTATTTTAATATTCTTTAACTTCACTATAAATGTTACTTTTTATTTTCACAATTAAAGAGTGTATTTTCTATGACTTCCAAAAGTGAATGTTGAAGATCTAATACTTAATTGAATTTACATATTTAGTTGTCGTTCTGAAATAAAAGTAACAGAACAATTTATAAACAGAGCCACTTTCATATTTAGTAATTCTTATGTCTTTGAGCTATCTGCTACAGCTTTTTAATCAAGAAACAATCAATTTATAAAACCTACTAAGCTTTTCCCCCATTTGAATCTCTCTTGACTTCTGACTATGTAGACTCTTTCGATCCCTGACTGAACGTTAGCCCCTCAAATTTCATACTAGTCCATTGGCTTGGCATTTCTTCCATGTTAGACTGAATCTGGTGGTTACCTGGTCACCAGGTTTGTTAGGAAGAATAACAAACAATATGACTGAGTGCTCGCAGTACAAGAGAATGTTAGGAGTATCACTGTTTTTGTGTTTTCCTAGACTTCTGTAATAAAAAGCAGCTATGTTCAAGTGTAGCTGGGCTAGACAATATCTTTCTAAGTAAAGAAACCATTTATGTTGAAACTAAATTCTACTTAGCACTTTTCGTCCACCAGCCTAGGGGACCAGGCTTACACACTGACATTCCATAGAAGATGTGTTTTTGTCTTAGAGAGCTGGGCTCTGCCAACACTCAGCCGTGCTCAGTGAATGTAAAGCTGCTGTTCCGGGACTCAAAAGTAGCAAGGAGGGGTGCCGGGTAGCCAACTTACGTGGGATTCTGCAGGTTGCCGTTGACCGGAATCAATTTCTTCTGCTTTCCTCCCATGGTTAGGACACCTTCCTTCCTCACGTGGAATGTGGGACGATCACTCTGATTGGGGCAACCACGGAAAACCCGTCCTTCCAGGTCAATGCCGCTCTTCTGAGCCGCTGTCGGGTTATTGTTCTTGAGAAGCTTCCAGTAGAGGCTATGGTGACTATTTTAATGCGAGCAGTCAACTCACTGGGAATCCACGTCCTAGACTCCAGCCGTGCCACTGACCCTCTGAGCCACAGCAGCAACAGCAGTTCAGAGTAAGTTAACAGTGGGCAGTACCAGGAGGCGCACACCTCCCTGAGAATCTCCTGGCAGGGGGCCAGCAAGGGCTGGCCGCCATCAGGAGAGGGTGGGGCCAGAGGAGAAATGATGGTCTCCGGAGTGAAAATGGGAGGAGGGAAATGCTTGGTTCTATCAGTCAACACAGTACCTCTCTACAGACCATTCCTGTGGATACATTGTACGGCCTATTGTGGGCGACCTGTAATTCTCGGGGCTTTCACGTTGAGTGCCCTGTTATTTCAGTTCTTGAGTGTCTGTGTTAGTGCTGAGGGATTTGGTTCTTTTCCTAGCACGCTTTCTTTTTTTAAGGCTTGCATGATTTTGGGAAGTCTTATTAATGATTTTCCTGCTTGCGATATACTTTTATAAATCTTTCGAAGTTTATATTCAAATTCCAAGTGCTTTATCTGCAGTGTATACTCTAAAAATCATTAAAAATCAATGTCAGTGTCTCTGTGAGCTGAGAAAATTAAAACTTGCCCTGAAGCTTCATAGCATAGAAGGACTTGGCGATTCAAAACCAGGCAAGAGCTTCACCCTCAGCCTTTCCTGTAACTGTGAAATAGCATAGTTAAGGCAAAATGCAGATAAACAGTCAAGGCATTTTTCTGTTTGTATACATTAGTGTTTTCTGAAAATTGGAGATGTGGTAGAGCAAAAAAAAAAAAAAATCAATGTCAGTGTTACCATAACATCTTTTTAGAGCGATTTTTGCACCTCTTCCCCCACCCCCTGTCCCCCCAAAATCAAAATCAGTTCCTGCAAGTAAAGGACATTCAGTGGTGACCACATTGGAGGAGGTGGTCTCTCCCTCCAGGAGCACCGCGTGGCCGTAGGTGGGGTAATCGATTAGGCTAAGTGGGTCATAAGTTTTCTTCAAATTAGAAAATACTCTTCAGATGTCATGTATTCCTGTGTGTCAGCTGGAATAACGCGGTGGAACCTAATCTGGTGAGAGGAGAGGCTGATGGCCGCCCCTGGCACTGTGGCCTCCACAGCTGCTGGTGCCTGCCCCAAGGCCAAGCTCTGGAGTCACTCTGCTACGAGGATTAAGCGAGGCATAGTTTTAGGCTCAGGGTTTAGGTTTCAACTGTCTCTCCCCATGTGTCTGGCCTCTCCCATTTGCTCCTGTCTCAGATGTACCCCGTGAAAGCCTAGAAACATTTGGCCAAGGACCCCGGGTGGGACGAGTTGTGAGTGGTGGCGGGTGGTGGCGGGATGGCCGTCAGAACTGTGGCTGTGGAGAAGTAAGGTCCTACTTCTCGTCATTGGGGGCCCTCCTGCTGCCCCATGTCCTGTCATCGCCAGGGTCGGGGCCACTGCCCGCTCTGCCTTTAGTGCAACTTTCTCTTTCACTAGCATTTCACTGCAGAACTCCTAGAGCTGAAGGAGAAGAAAAACGAGGGGCAGCCTAACACTGCATGTTGCTGTCCTGACATACCTACAGCTTTATATCCTGTGCTTTTTTTACCCAGAGAATTTTTATTGATTTCATTCATATCACCATTTCTCAGAACTGTAATTCAGATCCCCTCTGACTTTGCCCCCATAATCAGTGACAAGCCACAGTGGAAGTGAAATGATGCTGAACTGTGGTGCTCTCAAAGGATGTCTACATTTTGTACAGGCTCCCCAGGTCACTTGCATGCACATTCATATTTGAGAGGATCAAGTGAAGGAATTAAGGTTTCTCTTATTGCAACTGAGTACCTGACTTTTTTAAAAAATGAGCTGGTAATTCTTAACCTAAAATTGCATTACTCTCAGAGAAAAGCCTGTATCTAAAAGATGGCTTGTGTTTCCACCGTCATTGAGAATCGATCCTAATCAGGCCTTCCTTTGATTCTCTATAGCCCCACCTTCCACACAGGGCTAGGAGGGTAGGAACTTGTCCTTCTGTTGCTATCCCTGGCACCTACAGTACCTCGCATAAACCTTGTGCCCAGCAAGTGATTTGTGAATGATAATCCTAGCTTTCACTGTGAGGAAAAGTCTTAAGTTTTGGGGCTTGTAAAGGGAAGTAGAGTCCAATTTAAGGCACTGCTCCAGTGATTGCCCCATTGCAGGCTATCAAGACCCTTTTTTCTTAGTACCTTTGCTTAAGCAAACTAGCAGCAAGCAGAGTGAAACTAAAGATTATTGAGCTTAATTGACTGGCTGCTTGGTAGCTTTTCTGACAAGAAGTTAAGTTGGAAGATGGCCGTGGTAGGACTCTGGCATTGTAAGTGACTTCCTTATGGAAACACCTAGGCGCCCAGTTGCCGTGGATAATTAGGGGTATATTTTATTGTCTGTCAGAGTCCTTATTGAACTTCAAAGTCCCCGTGTGGGTTCTTGTGGACACAAATTAGATTTGGTTATACTAATCTAGCTGGAAGGAAAGACTTTGAACCACAGATAATTACTTTCTCTGGGAAACAGTGAGTGTGCATTTTTATTCTTTGGTCATGTTTTGATGCCTCAGCACCTAGAGCATTCACAGAGAAATCCTAGATTATTTAAGGTTGTGCAAAGAGGGGCTGAGCTGGGACTGGGTCTAGAAACTAATGTTGCCTATGGCATTCTTCATCTTACCTGAAGAATTTGCAGATTTTCATAGAGTGTACACATGTGCATGATAAATTCCCGGCATGGTGAGATAAACATGTTCTTTTTCAAATTTCCCCCCTATATTATACGTTATAATAGAAGGCCCTGCATGTATTAGGCACCTCGTCCCTGAGCTCTTAGAGAGCTCCAGGTGGTAAAGTGCAGGGTAAATAAATCTGCTTCCCTGGCTGCCCAAGGAGCAGTGGGCACAGGGAAGCCGCATCTGAAACACGTGAAATCAAAATATTTCCTCGATAAGGGGCTACTGTGTTGAATTTTAAAGGATAAGCAGAATTTAGAAGAACTAGAAGGCTCGATTCAGCAGGGAGAGAGAGCCCGTGACAGGACAATGGTGGTGAACTGCCTGGCCTGTTCACCATGAGCGGGCAGGACCATGGGCACAGGAGCTGACGGCCAGTATAGTCAGGAAGGGAGGCAGGGCTGGGTTTGAATGACCTGTGGAGATTATAAGAAGCCACAGGTCTTGAGCAGAATGGCATACTCAGATGCACATTTTCGGAAGATGAGTGCAGAATTGGAGCGGGTGGGTGGAGGGAATCAAGCCCCCACCTGGGCGGCAGGGGTGGGTGAAGCTGAAGCCTGAGCACGCAGAGCTGCCCGGTGACATTGCAGAGTTAGGTCTGAAAGCCTGTGTGTGAGGAGGGAAGAAAGACGGTCTACTATGACTCTCACTGGTGGTTGGGCACATGGATGTACTTTTGAGCAAGAAAGGTACAGGAAAAGAGCAGAGGAAGAGGTACGGCCCCGTCCAGGTATGTTCAGTTAGTGGGTCCTCTGGGTGTTCATATGGAGAGGCCCCAGCAGTTACATAGAAAGGTCAGGAGAACAGGATTGTGGGTAAGAGGTGGAGATTTGGGAGCCACCAGCATCTTAGAGATCCTGTAGCCCATTCATTGGAATAATCCCCCCTCCCCACCAGGGGAACCCGGGAAAGCCAGAAGCTTCTTGTTGGGTAGGGAAGGAAGAGCCCAAGGAGACAAGTCCAGATAAGGTAAGAGGACAGCTCCAGGGGTGCCCACCGAGAAGCGCTTAGCGAGAGGTGTACACTCAGGCTACTTCCCCCCTCAGGGTGGGTTTGGCCGGCTGTTTTTATTCTGTAGAAAAGGAAAATCAAGTTAGCTGCTCTAAACCAGGTAGAACTCTGCCGCCAAAGCAGCTGAAGCTAGAGGGGCATAAACATGCAGCTCCTGGTCAGCTTCGTGTTGTCATCGAGGACCTGAGTCCTTATCATTTTGCTCTGCCACCTTCAGCACATGGTGTCTACCTCGTGGCCCAAGGTGGCCACTGGGGCTCTGGCTCTTAGGTCTGCATTCCAGGCAACAGGAAAAAAGCCAAAGAAGAGCATCTCTTTGCTCCTCTTCGCCACCCAGCCTTAGTGAGACAGCTGCAGAAGAGCACTCCATGCTCAGTTGTGATTTGGTTGTGAAGAGTAAGCTAGGGGTAAGCTGGTGATTTATGGTGAATTCTCTATAGCAGCTCCTTCAGTTGATAGGCGTAATCACCGGTTCCCATGTATTTTACTCTAAGCATTTTGGTCACGTGTGGCACAGCAGTGAGGCGTGTTATCTGTGCACAGGGTTAGTTTTGGAGGCCAGAGCAAAAAATGCATGGTCTGAATTTGTGCTGCTGGAATTGAGAAAATAAACTAGTGTTTAATCACCCTGCAGCAGTGGGTGCTCTGGAGGGTTATAGGTTCCACATCACAGGACACAGAGTCGAAAGCACCCCTCAAGGATCAGCTGTTTGTGGAGCAGATAACAAGGCACATATTTGAGGACATGGAGGATGAAAGGAGAAGCGGGAACGGCTCAGCCCCACTGGCCTGCAGTGCAGAGCTGCTTGGACCCTTGGTGGTGGCAGCGGCTTCTGTCCTGGGGGAGGGGCTCAGACAGGTGTCCCAGAATAAGATCGGCTGAAACAAAGGGGCTATCATTTTCTTTCTCTCTCTCTCTTCGTTTTTTTGGTCTTTGTTTTGTTTCTTAAACAACTGTTTTGCCTGCCTGCTGAGAACAATCTTATCTAACATGGAATAGAACGGTAATGAGGCACCAGAATAGAAGTTACTGGCCAGAATGACTGAATGAGATATAGTTTTAGAGTAAATTTTAATAATTTTCCTTTAAAATGTTTTGCTATAAAGAAAAATGTATATTAACATAGGCTATTAAAGTGGTGGCATTAAAAATAAACACTGGCAACCAGAAACAGATCTCACGAACCTCATGTTTATTTCCTGTTTCTGCTGTAACAAATGACCACAAGCTGTGTCTTAAAACAATGGAAATGTCTTCTCTCACAATCATGGAGGCCTGAAATCTGACCAGGCTCTCACCCAGGCTCCAGAGAGGCCTTCCTTCTGGCTGCCCGGGCTCCCGTCATCCTCGGCTGGTGGCAGGGTCACTCCAAGCTCTGTCCATCTTCATGAGGCCATAGCCTGTGTCCCTCCATCTTCTCATTCACTGTCTCTTGTGAGGACGTCTGTTCTTGGATGTAGGGCCCCCCCCCCCAAACCCACTGTGAGCTCATCTTGAGATCCATAACATGGTTCCGTTCACAGGTTCCAGCACTAGGCTTTAGACGTCGTGTGGTGTGGCATCACCTGGGAGGAGTGCGTCCTCGTGGGAGTAAACAGAAGGGCGCATCTGTGAAGTTTGTGTTCGCTTTTTTGGGGAAGAGTAAATCTGGTTTTGTTTGATTTACCTTCGCTGATTGCTTATCCTGGAGGCAACCAGGCTTAGGACCCTGCCTGGAGACAGGGGGCTCTGAGATGCTCCTGAAGGGTTCTCGCCGCTGGTGGCAACAGCGGCCTTGATTGCGTGCGTGTGTGTGCCGGGCACTGCTCTGAGCATTTCACATGTTTTACTTACTCCTCTGTGAAGTCTCACTAGCTCCTTTTTATTAATGACCAAACTGACAGGCATTCCTGGTGACCTAGGACTTGAGTCCAGCATCTGAGCTTTGGAAGTCTCAGCGCTGTCACCACTAAGTTCAATCCCTGGCCAGGGAGCTGACCCACATACGGTGCAGCAGACGTCTCCTATCTCACCCGCTGCTCCCCTCAGCAACAGTGTATTTCAGTCAGTCCGCCTGCTCTGCTCCACATTCTGTCTCTGGTGAGTCCTCTCACCCCCCACACCTCTGACCTATACCCCAGTTCTTCTATGCAAAAAGAAAAGAAAAAAAGACATGACTAAACAAGCTTAGAGAGATGAAGTGATGTGCCCAAGATCACACAGCGGGAATGGGAGGGAGCAGGTCAGATGGGGTTTCCATTAAACCCCTCAGGTGTTAGGGGAAGAGTTAGCAGGTGGGAAGTGCTGCTTATACTTGGTACTAAGAACAGTGGGGAGAGGACTCACAGTGTGACCTTTCTCTGTGTATGTGTGTGAGAGGCAGCTCTGTGCTGATTGCTAAAGGAACCAGGACAAAAGATTCCATCCTCTGCCGTCACACTGACAGGTGTGTGCTGTAAACAGGCGTGGAGTCTGGGCCTGCAGAACCTGGAGTGGCGGCCGGGTGTGCACATCTGCGTGTGGAGAAGCTCTCTGGGCCTTGACTCCCGCCTCAGCTTAGGAACAGTGTGTAGCACCTACTGCCTGACCGTGGAATGTGCCTTGTCCTTAGTGACGAGCTCCACGGAGGATTGTTTCATAATTTAGGGAGAGCAAAATAACAGGTACCTTTCCCTCCCCTTGCGCCTCCTTCTAGTCTTGATCCGTCATCTAAATAGAACCCTCCAAACCCCGCAGTGTGCAGGGCGGTCAGGCCCTTGGAAGAGAGGAAGGTGGGCGCTGTCTTTGCAGAAGGCTCCCCTTCTTTCTCAGGACTGAGGCTGTCTCTGCACTTGGGGAAACGAGCCCCTCAAAGGCCTTTACCACTGGGTCTTGTTAACTAGAATGTCTTTTCCGATGCATCAATTTTAACCTTTTTTTTTTCCCTTGTGGAACAGGGGAAAAAATCCCATTGTATTGATACAACTTACCTATTATTGCTTTCTTCTTTATAGGATGCTGTGACATTCCAGTCACTCCATCCCCAAAGTAGATGTGCCCTCATTTATGTCTAACTTTGCAAGAAAGCATTTATAAGTTTATACTCAAATTTAAAAATAATGTTCATTGCTCTGGCCCGGGAGGCCCCCTGGGGTACTTTGTGTAGCGGGACGCTACAAACATCCATGCAAACACCCCTTTCTCCTGGCCCCTGGCCTGAGCTCTCGACTTCCCCTCCTGAGGTCGCGGTTCCTGAGCACAGCTGATGTGGCTCTTCCCAGGGCTAGCTGGACTTCACAGCCTGTGGGGGGGCGGGGAGGGTCTTGTGCATGGCTACGTGGGGTGGTTTTTAAGAAGCGACTTCTTTATTGAAGTGACGTCGCTTTATAACATTATCTAGGTCTCAGGTGTAGGCACTCGGGAACCGGCGTCCTGGTGTACTGCTTCCTACTCATCGTAAGAAAATGATGCTGTTGTGTGCGCGTTGGGGTGAGCTGGAGCCACAGCACTTGCGTGGGGTGTGGGAGGGCGTTGTGTTCTGGGGCCAGCCCTCCCCTTGATGACTGACTTGTGTGGCTGTTGCGGTGCCATCAGCAAGTCCCCTTTTGTTACTTGAACGGAGTTGCTGACAGATTCATTTGTGTTTAAAAATACTGCCGTGGTGTGGACAGGGTGAAATTTGGAATGTGGATCATGTGGCAGACGAGGAAGAAGGGAGCAGGGGGGCTCTGGTGGCAGCGTCAGCTCTCGTTTCATGGACAGCAACAGCACCCCCACCCACCCGAGACCCCAGCCTGCTTGTAAAGGGCAGCAGCAGGATAACAGGTACTGGAGTTCAGAGTTTAAAACTCGAAGGAAGGGAGCCACATAAAATATATACCCGCTTGTAAAGACTCTCAGTGTGCCGTTAGTACATCTGCGGAAGCACCTGCTGGCGGGCATCTCATGTTAACGAGGCCTGCTTGCTGACCGTGTCTGAGAACTGTTGGAAAGAGGGCCGGGTAGAATGTGCAGGGAATGGGAGGCTGCCTGTCTTTTCTCTGTCCCAGAGCACTTCAGGTCTCTAAATATGCACAAAGGCTTCAGGCAGAGGAAGGAGAAGCGCCCCGCGGCACTAAGACAGTGCAGCACGGTCATCGGGGACCTCTACCCCCTTGTCTCGCTCTGAATTTAATATAGTGCACATTTTCTTAAAAAGTAATATTCAGAGTTCTGAGTACTTGTTTTTTCAAAAGAACAGTTTACTTGTTAAGGATGTGAACTCTACATGGTAACATTTTGCTGAAAAAACTTGATGTGGGGTTGCTGGCTCTGGGTGGGTGGGTGGGCCATCAAGAAACTGGACAGATGCATTGTAGCAGCTGTTTTGTCCTGGTGGTGGAGCTAAGGGTTGTTTTTTTTTTTTTTTTTTTTTTTTTACATTCTCCACATGTTATCACTTTAAAAAAACGTGTTCACTGAGATTGTGGGAAAATTGAAGTACGTTCAGTCATTGTGCACATACTGAATGCCTGTTCTCTGCCAGGACATGGGAGACAAAGACTAAAACCCCGTTCCTGTCCTCGAGGAGCTCGGCGCTGAGTGGCTTGGGGGTGGCGGACCTCCTGCCCTGGTGATGGCACAGGCCCTGGAGATTGACCAGGCTCCTGCTTGCTTGCCTCCCTTTTCTTCCTGCGCGTGACCCTGCGGCTCTCGGCTGCTGGTGTTCCTTCCCAGGCCAAAGTGAGATGTTCGGGCAGCATCACCACCCACCCCCACCCCCCCCCGCCCTCTGCCCCCACCACCACACACACACACACACACACACACACACACACACACGCACAGATGATGTGCAGTGATGAGCCGGGCGAACCCTTCCCTTGCAGGCACACGGGTCTGATGCTGGTCCCTCCTTCACCTTTCCTTCACTGCGTGTCGTCCGCCGTTCCTTCCAGATCATCTGAGATCTGCTTGAGAAATGGCCTGTTGGCTTTACAGAGTGCCAGAATGAGGCCTCCCTGTGTATTGAGAGTCTGGTCAGGAGGGGGACGCCTCTGGGGCTCCGCACAGTGGGGACTCTGATATTGTCAGCCTGAGGGAAAAACAGGCCTCTTCTGTGTAGGCGGACACCCACAGAGAACACTGGAAGGCCTGGCTTTGCTACAGAAGGGGAGGAGGTAAGGCAGTCTTCAGATGCTAGGAACAAATCTTTTAGTGAATGAAATGCGACTTGCTTTTATTCAAGCTGTTTAACAAAAGTAGTGGGGCACCGTAAGGAATTCTGGGGCCTTCGGGGGCCTCCTTTCCTTTCACTCCCCCTCCCTCCCTCCTTCCCTCCTTCCACCTCCCACTCACGGCCTCTGCATCCCAGACTCCTGCCTTTAGGTCCTGCTGTGCTGGAGTAACTCGGGCCTCAGGCTGCTGTGATGGAGGGACTCGGATGGCCCTGGGGTGGGGCTGTCTCTTCCCTGTGTGGAAACTGGTCTGGCCTCCCAGTCTCATCAGGACGTGGCCTGTGGGAAATCTCTGTTTTGTGTGTTCCAGCCAGAAGCCAACAGCTCTGTGGCTTTTACTATTCCATAGGCAAGAACCAGAGAGGCCAGTTGTTAACAGGGACTTTCTAAACTTTCCATGCAGCCTCCATACACGCCCACGGGTGCACTTAGCAAAATGCCCTTATGACTCAGCATCAGGTCAGTTCTTGGGCTTGATGACACTTAATGATGTGGGTGAAGCATAAAGGTAGAAGCCTTTACCTAACACCGGTTTTGGTGACCTTGCTGAGATGCACAGGCGCACTGATGAGTGCTGCGGAATGACAGGTGCAGCCATCACTAACACGGGCTGTGTTGCAGGCCCTCCGTGTTTATCGAGGACAAAGCGGTGGACACCCTGGCTTACCTCAGCGACGGGGACGCCCGGACTGGACTGAATGGACTGCAGCTGGCGGTGCTGGCCAGGCTAAGCTCTCGGAAGATATTTTGTAAGAAGAGCGGACAGCCCTATTCTTCCAGTAGAGTTCTGATCACAGAAAATGATGTGAAGGAAGGCCTCCAGCGCTCTCACATCCTGTATGACCGAGCAGGTAAGCAGCTGAGAGGGGGAGAGAGTGAGACCTGATGGAGGTGGGCTGGGTCCGCAAGTCTCGTTGCCCGGACTCCGCCGTGTGGGCCAGAGGTGCATGTGGCTCTCAGCGGAAGCTCCTGGTGAGCGGCAGAGTTGGCCTCCAGGAGAGCCTGATTCCGGGACCCGCTTCCCAGCCTTTCTTATCTCAGGGGTCACAGAACAGAAGCCTCCCTCCTAGAACGGACAGGAGTTTTCAGGTTGAAGTGGCAGCTTCCCACTTACTTGGAAGGTAGATATTTTCCCATTCCTCTCTGGTAGCACTTCCAGAACACAGGCGTTTTTCAGTGCCCATGCTTTCAATTACCAGTGCGCTTCTGCGGTGGTGAATGTGGGTAACAGGCTTGGCAATAGTGACTTGTTTTTACTTAATGAGAGTAAAAATCCTTAACTTCTAGATTCTCTACTAAAAATTAAATTCACATCGATCTTGATGCTTTTGTAATAATAGCTTTTCATTTTTTTTTTAATTTTATATGTATTTTACATCATTCTTCATTTTTGTACAATGTATGCTTTCTCCTCTCAGGTGTAGTCCCCTGTGCTCGTCCCTCCCCGGTTTTGATCCCCCCCCCCCCCCCCCGCAGAATGTCTCTGATTTATAGTTGCTTGTTGATTTCGTTTTTTAATTTATTGTAATTATTTTTCTCTTATCCCTTATTTGGTTCCCCTACATTCCAAAAATACTAATTTTGCTGTGTGTACTTATCTGTTTTCCTAAAGCTGATTTACAGATATCAGACTTGATATCAGCTCTTATTAAATCCGTGCCCTGGCAACATGAAATGTCCTCGGTGCCCACATTTTTCTCTTTTTATAAAAGAGGTGGGTGATGATGAGAGAACCCAGTAGATCTACAGGACTTCTGGGCTTGACGATTGTGTGATTCTGCATGGGGCCATGTTGTAAATGGAACAGAATTTCCACCCATTGCAAAGCTCTGCCGGAAAAGGAAGTTGATAATTGAACATTCCAGTTACCACGCCCGCCATGCCACTTCCACACTATTTCCAGAGGCTTTTTGATGGGGAGCACTTCCTGAGTAGAGAAGGGGTGGAGGATCTTAAGAACCCCGGTGGTTCTGGCTCTGCCATCTGATGAGTGAGCAGAACACCTGCGCAGCCTTGGGCAGAAGGCGACTGAAGCTGTGATCTTGGTGTGTCTCGGCTGCAGTGGGGCCAAGGAGCACTGGGATCCAGCAGTCCTGCCTCCCTCCTGGCCTAATGCTCCCAGCAGGGTCCCCGTGGCACCTCCCAGCACCTGAGGTGCTGGCGCTGTCTGTCACCCCAAGTCATGGGAAAGCTCAGGAGTCTGGAAAACAAGCTTTCAGGACAGCGCTTTGCTTTACTCTTAGTTAAATACGAGTGCTGGAGATAGGAACAAAATTTAAAATTTAAAGGGATTAAAAATAGCCCAAAGGCTGGAGCCTGCACTGTAGTTCTCCACCTTCTGTGTCCTCACAGACACTCTGCAGGGACCCACCAGGACTGTTATCCATGTCCTGTCAGACTGTCAGTTTAGAACCACCATGTAATATCAGTTCATATAGATATAAACATTATCTTTTTTTAATTCTCAAAATAATTAGGGGACAGGAGAGAATGTCATTGCTCTTCTATTAGCTCCATTGCCGGGATGACAGAACTTGCCTGAGTTCACAGAGCAAGGTGGGAAACTTGTCCTCAGATCTAGTCTGACTGGATTGGTATGGGTCCCTCCCCAGCCCCTGGCACTTCTGTGCCAACCCCCACAGTCCCAGCCCCAGCCCCTGCTGCCTCTGCACCAGCCCCCCACCTCACCATGGTGCATGCTGCCCACACCATGTGTGTGCCCAGCCTTATCGCAGTGCATGCTACCCTCACTGTGTGTCAGACATGGCCAGCCGAAGGCCCCTCCTTCTAGAGGGTGAGTTTCATCATGGGCCATGTACTGTGGGGTCACTGGGTCCACACTCTGTGCTGTCCATGGGGTGTGGGGCTGTGGCGGACCCCGCACTGTGCAAGTTCCATGTCTGGGTGGCCCACTGCCACACTGTCCCCTCCAGGGTGGCTCCATCAGCCCTCACACAGTTTGGGTCCTAGAGAGTCGTGCTTTTACTGGCCTTGTTCCATAAACGGGTGAGAGAAGTGTTGCCCTAGAAACCTGCCAGCTTAACCTCTTGGGCCTTTGTAATGATGAGGCCAAGAGCCCTCCACCCCCAGAATCTTAGTGATGTCTTCATGTCATCTCATATGGAGTTGCCCACTTGGTGGGATCCAATAGCTCAGATTTTTCTGCATCAAAGGGAAGAAGTTTCCGAATGAGAGCAGTTGCTTGCCGTGCACTGAGGTTAGGGTTCTACTCTGGGAAAAGCACAGCTGGAAGCGAGCAGGTGTTCCTAGGGGCCCTGCCAAGCAGGCCAGCGTGAGTAGCACTGAGCTGAGTTGGCTCACAGTCCGTTTCTCAGATGAGAAACTGAGGCGCGAGTGCATCCATGATCTGCTCGTGGCGTTCAGACCAGACCACCAGGCCTGGAACGGTGTCCTCGCCACACTGCCTTTCAGCATCGATGCCCAGCTGAGGTGGGCGCCAGAGAGCAGCCTTGATGCAGGGAGGTTCGCTGCCATCTCCTCTTTTACATGTGGCAGAAGGTGAAGTACATGCGGCTTCTCTGTCCCCTTTGCATCTCTGTGCTGGTGGAGTCTGTACTGCCCAGTCCTCATCCACATCCAGCCTCAGCCCGGAGAGCAGCCTGGGCCTGTGGAGGGGGCATGTGAACCAGTCAGCCCGTCTCTGGTGTTGTGACTTACTGAGGCAGCCCTGGAGCAGGTGGCATCTCAGTCTGTCCACCTAGGCGGCTGGGACCCTGGATCGGCCCTCCTCTGACGTGGAGAGGTGCTCAGGGCCCCATGGGCAGCCTCTCCCATTGGCCACCCTCTCCCTCTGAAGGCGGACTGCCACTGAGCGGTGTGGTCCCTGTCAGGCCTCCTTCCCGGGGCCCAGGCGCTGTGCAGAGCAGGTCACGGTCTTGCTAGTGCCTGTGGCTAGCTGAGGAGCACAGGCAGGAGTTTCTCTGTAAAGTCTGATGCTAATACAATACCGCCCCCAGCTTCTCATGGGGAGGGTACCCTGACTTTGGGCCTCTGGAAGTGGAAGATCAGAAGATAGTGAGATTCCAGCAGATGCAGATGTTTAACTGTAATTTTCTCTCCTTAAATGCATTTCTGAGAAACTGCTGTTCACTGGGCATCCAGGGTAAACATGGGGCAGGGCTGAGGGTGGAGAGGGGCTACAGAACTGGAGGGGGCGAGCTGTGACTCCCTGTCAGTCCTTCTGGGACCAGCCACACAGGTGTCCCCACCCGGGTTTAAGGGGCGGCGGGCTTCACATACCACAGAGGCAGCTGGCAGTGACAGTGGGGAGCAAGTGGGCCGCCGCAGCTGTCCCTGCCACTTGATTCTGTGCCAAGGGCTGCGGCCAGGCCCAGGGTTGATATTCCTCGCATTGATAGTGGGGTACCTGGCGGATCCACTGGGTCTAGAAGGGCCACCTTGGGGAGTGGATGTCTGCCTCTCCCGAGCTCTGCTCACGCCCGCATGGACAGCGCGTTCCCTTGGCTCCTGCTGCAGTGGGTCTGCTCACCCCACGAGGACCCCACGCGGGACGCTTGCCACCAAGTGAAGTAGAGGTAGGACTGAGGGGACCTCCGTGAGCCGCGAAGGCCCCTCCTGCCTGCGGGCTGAGCGGGCCTCTGCGCTTCCAGGGGAGGAGCACTACAACTGCATCTCGGCGCTGCACAAGTCCATGCGCGGCTCGGACCAGAGCGCCTCGCTCTACTGGCTGGCGCGCATGCTCGAAGGCGGGGAGGACCCGCTGTACGTGGCGCGGCGGCTCGTGCGCTTCGCCAGCGAGGACATCGGTGAGTGTGCGGGGAGCACCTCAGGGGAGCACCTCAGGGAGGGGGCGGGCGGGGAGGACTGCGGGAGGGGCGGGAAAGGGTGGGCTCCCATGCTGGCGCGAGGAAGACCCACCCGCGGGCAGCTCGGCGCTTCCCTTCTCGCTGTGTGTGTGGCTTCAGAGAGTTCCTGTGGCTAAAATCACCATTTTCGGTTTTTTCTGTTCACGATTTTACCCACCTGAGTATGAAAACAAGAAATATTTTAAATTTGCTTCGCATCAGTTGCATAGCTTTTCGTCGGCTACGCCTGAGGTGGATATAGACGATTCTGGATGTAATTTGAAAGATCAGAAAAGCTTTGGTGTTAGTAAATGTCTTCTTTCGCGGCTGTCTTCGTGTCCTTGCTCCTTGGTGTGCACACGGTTCTCCTGCTGGAGATCGTGTCACCGCAGGGAAGCGGTTCTGGACCCATGGGCAAGGGCGCAGAGCATTCCAGAACGCGCACGTGGGCGGGTGGGGAGGGCACGTTCTGACCCCTCCTCTGTCTCCGGCAGGACTGGCCGACCCCTCCGCGCTGACACAGGCGGTCGCGGCCTACCAAGGCTGTCACTTCATCGGCATGCCCGAGTGCGAGGTACGCTGCCGGCTCGCGGCCGCCGGCCTGCCTCCGCAGGGCGGGCTGGGCCACCGACGCAGCCGCTCGGCCCGCGGCCCCCATTTAGAAGCTTGCGCTCTTGAGGGGGTGGACCCGAGGTCTCAAGGAGGCGCTGTCGTCGGTAGATGTCCTGAGCGCAGGGCTTTTGGGGCACAGTGTGGAAGGTGCCCCACAGGGAGTCTGCAAGTCAGCCCTGCACAGAACAGCCTCCTATTTATGTTTTATATGTTGGGGTTTTAAGACAAATTTTATTAAAAATTGTTAGCTCCAAAGAGAAAAGGAGCAAACCACTCGTCTGCGCAGGGAGCCGTTCTCTCCACCCCACGGGTTATGTAGGTGAAGGGCGCTCTAAGGGCCCCGCGGGGGACGCCCTCGCAGCTCTGCAGAGTGGCCGCCCGGCCCTCCTAACCCGGCGTCTCCCTGTGCCTGCAGGTGCTCCTGGCCCAGTGCGTGGTCTACTTCGCCAGGGCCCCCAAGTCCATCGAGGTGTACAGCGCCTACAACAACGCCAAGGCCTGCCTGCGGAGCCACCAGGGGCCACTGCCCCCCGTGCCGCTGCACCTGCGCAACGCGCCCACGCGGCTCATGAAGGACCTGGGCTACGGCAAGGGCTACAAGTACAACCCCGCCTACAGCGAGCCGGTGGAGCAGGAGTACCTGCCCGGCGAGCTGCGCGGCGCGGACTTCTTCAAGCAGAGGCGCTGCTGACCCCGGGCGGGCCGAGAGCGTCGCTGTCCTCGCGAAGAGGGCCAGGGAGGACGCGGGGCGGCTGCCCGGTGGGAGCTCAGACACTTTGTGCCGGAAACGTGAGGGTCCCGGCGGAGGCCCGGTCGCCCCGCCGGTCGTGCCGCGCGCGCCCGCGGTGGTCCCGCTCACGGAACCCCCGGCAGCTTCGTGCAATGAATCAATGTTATAAGGAATTATCTATTTTGTCATAGTATTTAAGTCATATGTCATTTCAGAATTAAGTTCTGTAGGATTTTTTTTCTTTAAAAAAATGTATATTCTGGGTAGTTTCAATTGGTAAAAAAATGTAATTGTGATTTAATACTGCATAGTGTTTTGGGTATTTTTTTTATATGCAAAGGTCTTACAAGCCAATAAAACTATTTCAAAGTATCTTCACGTCTTTCATGTCCTTCCCACCAGGGCTGCTGTCACCAGCGTATTTTGGTGGAAAAATACTGTGAAAGAAGAATTAGAAGATAGGGGCTCTGAGTTACAAGTGCTCGTAGCTTTGGAAATCAGCCTTAGGTGGGCCCCCTCCAGCTCCCTTGCAGCACCTTCCTGGAGGTGCCAGCCACTCACCTGTGGGCTCTGTTTCGGCCTGGGGGGCGCTGCCCCTTCTCAGCGGCATCCTGGGGCCTCTGCCTTTCTTCTGAATGAGAACTCCTGTGCCTGACTAGTCTGTCCCGCCTGCTTGGCTTACTCCAGGATTCTGTGCCACCCGTGCCTCCTGTGTTACCCATTTGCAGGGACAGTGTGATGGTGCTCACCAGCCTGGCAGGAAACCCTCCTGCAACAGTAAAGTTTTTCATCCTGAGACTCCCCACTTTGGTCATCCCAGAGCTTCCCTCCACCAGCACCTCACCTGACTGCAGGATTCTGAGCTTTCTCTGCTCAGGTGACACTCGTCCTTGAGCAGCTTTACAGGACAGGAGCAAGATGTCCTTAGACTGGAGAGTCGGGAAATGCATTCATCCTGCCTGCAGACTTAGTTCAGAAATGAAATGTCCATTATCTTAAGATGCTGTCAGGAAACTCGCAGACATTCTGACTGGTGGCCTCTGCGAGCTTCTGGGGTCTTCTCTCTGTTCCTGGTGTTCAGAACGTCCTCAGTGGCTTTTCTGGGCCCTTTCAATCTGGAAGTGTATTTCTTCGCGTTCCAGTGAAGTTGGTGTTTACAGCCATGCAGTCAGTGCCAAGGCTGGCCTCATGCTGAGTGCACCATGTGGGCAGCTCGTTGGTGAGCAGGCGGTGCCAAAAATTAAGTGCTCATGAGGCGGTGTGGGAAATAGGACTTTAATGTCAGTTACTAAGTGCTAAGGAGAAAATAATGGGATGGAGAGGAAATGGTCCAGGCAGACCCAAGGATTTGGTGAGAGGAGCAAGTGTGCCATGGGGAATTGGGGAGGAGGGAGAGGAGTGTTGCCAGCAGAGGGCGCAGGGAGCACACAGGCCTGAGGAGGAGGTGTCCGATCTGTCCAGGAAGGAGACTCCTCTAACTGTACTGAGGAGAGGAGGTGGCCCAAGTTGAGTGGGTATGACCGTCAGACCTTGGTCATGGCAGAGACCTTGGCTTTTACTCAAGGCTTCCGGGGAAGGCTGTCACGTGGGACTTAATTTTAGAAGGATCACTTGCTGTGGTGCTGAGACCAGTCAAGAGGCTACAGGTGGGAGAGGGGTGAGACTTTGCCGCCTTCCAGGAGAGGCAGTGACCTGGGGTTTGGTCATCAACATATGTACGGGGAGCACCACCCTGGGGGGAGATCGCAGGGCCTCCGCATCAGAGGATGGGACCGCGGCTGTCTCACTACCGAGGATACCACCTTGGCTCTTAGATTTCATGGGCTCATTTGTGCAATCCTCATCAAGCCCAACAAGTTTTGACATGCACATTGCGAGGACGGGCCTTAGACCCCTGCCACAGAGTCGCGTCCTCACTCACCTGGTGGCCTCCCGGCTCCCGCGCGCCTGCGGGGACTCCTGGTCTGCCCTCTTGAACAGCCCTTGTTACTGCTCCTTTCCCGTCTCCCGTCCTCTCTTTTCTGGCAGATGCGTCAGCTTCGTGTTTGCCGTCATCACCTTTAAATTTCCAAGAGCTCGCTTTCCTCTCTTCATGTTCGTTTTCTTGCAAAGGTTTGTGCTTATTGGCTTGCTTGATGGCTTCTGCTTATCTCCTAGGGGTATTAAATTTATTTTGAAATGTCTCCCTACATACTACTGTCTTTCCTCCTGTGCTCTTTTCTGTTTTCTCAGTCTGTCCAGTAACTGGGTCCTGTGCTCGTGTGTAGACATGTAGACAGGAAGAGCAGACGGGAAGCTGGGAGCATGCGGAGTGGGGGTGGGGTAGGGGGTGCCACCCTTTGACCTTGACCCTCTCAGAGGCATTTGTCCGAATCCCAGAAGCCCATTCATGTGTTCAGGGCCTCCCTCCAGGACTAGTCAGGACACGTCTGTCCTGCCCAGGGTGAAGCCTGGCTCCCTGCACTCTGGTGCCACGGGGTGGGGAGGAAGCAGTCCACGTGCAGTATCCCATCTGATTTCTGAGGTGGCTCCCAGGCCCTCAGCTCCCCCAGGGCCAGTTCAGAGATCCTCCAGGGGCTTTGAGGAGTGTACTGGGCAGGAAGGGACAGTGCAGGTTTTCTTATGACCCGAGCAGATGGGGTAAAGGAGAAGTCCTGGAGCCCTCAGTGGCTTTTCAGGTTTTATTTGGGATTTACCAGGTACACGGCAGGCAGGGGTGCCAGGGGGGCTGGAGGCTGGCAGGCCTACCAGTCCCCAGCAAGTCTTCATTCTTTCTGGGCTTTCCGGTGTTCTCTGGTGGCCCTGTTCTCTGCTCCTCTCGTTCTTCTGGTGTCCACGTGACGCTGCCCTTATAAGCCCAGTCTCTTAGCCCAGGTGTACCCACTTACGCATGCCCACAACCAACTCCAGGTGCTGCCATCAGGCATACATTCAGGACCACAAGAATCCATCATCAATCCTAATGGCAGGAGAGCAGAAAAGCCTGATATCATTTACTTACCCTACAAGGAGGTGAGGGTACCTGCCGCTGTCCCGGCCCGTGAGACAGGTGTCCTGTAGATGGGAGATTCTCGACTCTTCCCCTCTGGAATCTGCCCAGTAACCACTGGCCCTCATCCTCCCAGCCTCCAACGTCACCTTGTGATCACCTCATCTGTTCTCCCCACCTTAAGGGTTGATGGTTTCCAAAGGCTCATTACTGTAGTTTGGGGGCTTGGAAGGAAATGAAATCAGGGTGGGGTCCATCTTTCCTAACTAGATCGTCTTTACTAACATGTAAGATATTTAAGAGAATTGAGATATTTTCAGCCCACAACCTTGAGGCAGAAGCAGTTATGCCTCAAGTCCTGACAAGGCTGGGGCAGAGGGAACTGAGGGAACCCCAGATCTGTGACATAACGACCCTGTTCTAGAAGAAAAAAAATTCTACACGATCGTGTATACCCTGAGGGCCAAAGAGAACCGTCTGAAAAACTAGTCAAGATCACGTGTAAACAATATAGACCCAACTGCTTCCAGAGGACTCAGGAAATATACCAAGAAAAAGATTTCTGTTCTTAATAACCTCCCACAAATAAACTAGTATTTTATAGGCAGGACTGATGTGAAGAACCTACCGTACAATTGACAGCAAAGAAAACTTGTACAAAAGTAGAGACAGACCATACTCCTAAACATGATCTGATTATAAACGTCATTTAAATGTTTTTAGAGTCCCATCCTGGTTGACACTTAGGATATGATCGGTGCATACTTGTTGAGTGAATGACAGAATGTATGTAGATGCCTTGAAATAGGCGCCCTTGCGCTTCTGTCCACTAGGGGACAGGCTCCGCCCTGACAGAACCAGCACCTGAGCTTCCACCTGAGGTCCCGCTGACCCGCCCTCAGCCACAGGGAGTTTCAGTGTTGGTGATGAAACTCCGATACTGAACAGTTTTTTAAAAGAACTTATTTTTGAAGAACTAAAAGTATATGAGATCTTTGTGCCAGAAGGTGTACCAAAAAATAAAGAGGAAAAAGCAACTTTGACTTTTGTTTTCAGCGATAACCACTGTTAACGGTGTACATGGGTATTTTTTGAGATTCTGTGTGCGTGCGTGTGTGTGTGTGTGTGTGTGTCTAAGAAATGACAGCACACATTATCCACCTTACAGCTTGCTTTTCACATCCTGGGTTAGTCTTCTAGGGTGTGACTTGGCTGCATACGGAGCACCGGGGGCCTCCCATTCCTGAGCTGCGGGACACCAGCTGGCCCATCCACACAGTCTCAGAAGCAGGGTGGGGGGGCACCTCAGGGCCTCCATCTGCTTTCTTGTCCTATTTACCAGCCCCCTGGGCTGCACTGCCCTCCACTCTTTCCTGGACACCCTCTCCCTTGCTTAAAACCCACGTGTGGTCTTTCTCTGCTTTCAGCGCAGAATCAAGTTCACTGCCAGCCCTCGGGACTGCATGGCGTGGCCAGACCATCTCCTTGCCCCATGCACCTCTCGGCCCTGCCTCTCTGCCCACAGCCCCTTCCCCAAGTCTTTCAACCCTCATGCCAGTGACACCACAGGAATAGCGTGGAGAATGCTCTGGTTCGAATCCTGTCTGTGCTCTGTGCCCAACATGGGCTCCTGTCAAGTTTATCATGGTTCTTTTTTTTTTAAAAGATTTATTTATTTATGCATACAAGAACTGGGGTACAGGCCAGAGGTGTGGGGGGTGAGAGGAGTCGCCAGAGACAGAGTGGGGAACAGAACAGGCAGACTGACTGAGATACACTGCTGAGGGGAGCAGTGGGCAAGACAGGAGAGGTCTGCTGCACCCTGTGGGTCAGCTCCCTGGCCGGGGATTGAACTCGTGCTGCAGAGGCTGGCGATAACTTGATAGTGCTGTCTTTAACCCCTTCGCCACCAGGGAGGCCCTAGGTTATGGTTCTTCACTTTCTTCTTCTGTAAAACAGGGATCAAAGTATGACCTCATCACAACAGGGATCACCTGATTTGAAACAGGTAGTGGCTTACAACAATGGCATGTAGTAGGTGCTTAGGAAGGGCCAGTTGTCCCCCTTACTCATTCTTCTGACCTCAGCTCCAGCTCCTTAGGGAAGACTTCTCTGGCCCCTGGGCCAAGTGGAGTTCAGAACTGGCTTGTGGGACTTACTGACGTGCAGTGACTTCCCAGGCCCCCGGGGCAGGTGAAGCTGTGCCACCTGACCTGGTGGGCCCCTGACCGGACTTCTCAGACTGCATGCTTCAGAAACACCCGGAGGCCTTGTGGAAACACCAGATTTCTGGTCAGTCACGCAGCCATAGGACCTAAGGATCTAGGCTTCTAGTAAGTTCTCAAGTGATGCTTAAGCTCCTGGTCCCTGCAGTCCTCACTCTGGGACCCTCTGTACAGCGCTGCAC